TTCCTTTTTGATAAATCATATAGTTAGACTTAGGTTTCCTGAATTATTCCTTAGTTATTATAGTAAATTCGTTATGTTGCTATAGGCTCAGGATGGGAGACTGTGATGAAGTGATTCAACGCAGTCTGCTGGTTTCTTCTTTAGATTGTTCTTTTTTCATGTACAGTGCCCTGAGACAATGTATGTTGTGACTTGGCGCTATACAAATAAACTGAATTGAATTGAACATAGTGATTCTAGTTTTTTATTGATTAGGTTACTTGTAAATAAACAAGTTTTGTTGGGTTTAAACAAAAAAAAGAGCTCTCTTTTTTTAAATGAATAAAATTAGTTTTAGAGAAAATTTCAGAGAGGATAAGAAAATAATTTTGTTTTCTCACCTTTGAGATGTTTCTCCTCCAAACGTTTTAGCATAGTGAAGCTAGACTGTAGAGAAAGTACAGCCACTAGCAGTCTCCTCTTGCTATGACGTCACTCTGACCCCCAATTTACATTGCTTGCGTTCCGTCTCCGCTCCGGTCCGACCTCCGCAGCAAATACGCACCCATTCTAATCAATGAGAGTGTTTACATTGGCTGCGCACGGCGGCGCAGGGCAGCGGTGAGTGGACGGCGATCCGTCAAAAATTAGAACAGATCCTATTTTTGCCAGATGCCGGAGCAGCGCCGGAGTCAATTTTTAAAGATTACGTCGCACGAACAGGAAAAGACACGAGCACAACATCCATATTTTCAAAATAAGACACTATTCGGCGGAATAATTTGTCAGAATAATGTCGAAATTGCCTCTATATTAATAAATGTACGGATATATTTCTACACAAATGCTGTCAGAATGTATTGTTCTGTTTGGGAAGCAGATGGAAACATGTAGCATGAAGCATACTGTATGTGTGCACACACACGATACACATGGATTTTATTTTGAAATCAGAAGTTTCAGAAAGCCGACAGCGAGACAGTTTCAACATAGATACCAAAAGCCTTTATATCAATGTTTTCAGCTGTGTTTGGAGTTCGTCTTTCACAGAATTAATTATGTTTTGCTGTGACTTCCACACTTATCACTGAATTTATCACGCAATCTGCTTCCTACACGTCTGTCGGACCGGACCAGAGCAGAGGTGGTGTAAACTGGACTTGAAACACACAGCTGTGACCTGCGCAGCGGAGCGGAGCGCAGCCGTAACGCATGCAGTATAAATCCGGGCTGAGAACACCCCTTCTGAGATGTTTTAACTCTAACTTAATTCAATACATTTTTATTTATATTTATTTTATAAATGCTGTTCTCAAATGCTTTCAAATAAGTTTTTTTTTAGTTTAAATGAAATAAAACGATCATTTTTAAATAAATGAAACAAGTTTTGTTG